AGAGAAATGTCTGAAAGAAATTACAAATCTGTGAAGATTTATTGACCAATTTGGTAATGAATATAGTAAACTAGAGGATTTAGAGTCAACAAGAAGCCAGTACTTATCCTTCTTCTTCCCTCGATTTCAAATGTGATCAGAAGACTAAACAATGTACTCTGGGGTTTCACTCAAATTTTTGACTCAGCTACAAGTTCCAGGACTGTCTTCAGATCTATGGACGTTCCATCACAAACTTAGTGTCAAAAAAAGTGCAAACAACACCTCAGCTTGAAAACAAAACCACCTGGGAAAACATTTTTAACACCACCTCAAGCTGATCACTATTATCCGAGAAGCCCCTCAGCTTCAATGCATCCACATTTTCCCTAGTAGTTGGTTTATCGGCTGTACTCACCTCCCTGAGGACGGAGGTGCGTGAGTGGCGTCTCACAGAAGTCTCCGCAGCCCTGAGGACTGAATTCAGCTCACCTTTCCGAGGTCTGCCTCCTGAACCCATAATGCAGACAGATTGATAGTAATGGATCCTTTCAGGCTAATGATATGCAGCCGAGACTAGGGTTAACGAAACTGGCACTCTGGGCCAAATATCACCAGCCTTCGCGAGGCAAGATTACACCTATCTCTAGGGGTTGCTTCGATGACAATGACAACCAGGATGAAGAAGCTGGATTCACTTCACGTTTCGCTGGCCCTACTCCCAACGCAGTGGGAGGAATCCCGATGGCTAGCGAAATCAGTCGTATTTTAGAGATCCACCCCATTGATCTTGTGCATGCGGACCTCGTCGACCACAGCTTTTGCCAAACTAATTTGACAGTTTACTGGTTAATATCTAGTGGAGCCACGAACGGGCTCACAATCAAATGCAACTCGGCTCCACTTATTATTCCTGTTGCACGAAAAATCTCCGTTTTTCACGAGCTAGCAACGCAAACCCACCACCACTGTACCGTACCATGTGGAAATGCTTCACATTGACTCCATGGTAGGAAATTATGCAGCGGTTCCTTGCTACATAGAAAGTCATAGTTTCTCTCATCACAGCAGTGATCAGCAAGTATTTTTTTAGTCATGCCAGTTCCCCGTGTGTCAGACACTTCGTTCATTATTGTAATCAACAAGTGTCTGTATTATATTAAGTCACTTGCATCTGCTAAAATACATTCAGCACATTGAGACAAAAAGCACAGTCTGCTTAAAGTCTGTACAACCAGATGGAACAAATAACTTTGTCGATACTAGTGTTACATAAATAATCACGATACAACATATAGATGGTAGATTCGACCTGAATACACTCGTGCCTTTGAATAACATCCACTGTACAAAGTGAGACACTTCACTCATAGAAAGCTTCCACCTGTTATGTGAATGTATATCAGTTCATCTGAATCCGTCTAGCTACGCAACCAAGAATTGTGTTGCCGATCTAAATCGTCCTACAATTCAGACGAAAGAACATCGAATCAGTAATCTACATACTCCTGGTTTGTGTCCAGCAGTGAACGAGTATTTAATTTCGTCTTTAATGGTCACCTATGAGAGACATTAGGCAACATTCCCGAGGAAACCTGCGTGAAAGAACACTGGAACTCTTTGAAAGAGATGTAGAAAGAAACCTGCATAACCTTGTTAGGAAGGAAAATGAAGCAAGACAAGGAACGGATCTCGACGGACACATGTAAGCTGATAGAGCAGGGAGAAGAAGATGGTGAAGCTGAAGATGAGCCAGTGCAGTGCAGTGAAGGGGTGAACAACGGAAATAGGAACTGAACACAACACCTATCTAAACTATACTGGACAAAGAAGTGAAGAAGAGTGCATGCAATAACAAAAAGGAACTTCTACGACACATTGGCAAGTGAAGCAGAACAAGCTGCAGGTAGGAGAGACCTGATAACATTATATCAAATAACTAGATTACTATCTGTGAAGAGATCAGCACAGACGAAACCAATGAAAGATAGTTAAGGAAAGCTAATTACCAAAGAGGAGAAACAAAGAAAACAATCGGCCAAACACTTCAAAAATTCCTGAATCAACCACCACCTGCAACTCGTCCAGAAAGACCACCAGCAGCCCAGCCACAGAACTATCAGTGAACACAAGCCCTCCGACAAAAGCCGAAGTGAAGTCCTGAACGCCATAAAGTTGCTGAAATCTAGGAAAGCAGCAGGACCAGATAGAATCCCGCCAGAAGCACTGAGAACAGACGCAGAGACAACAGCAGCGGACATGCTCACACCATTACTGCGGAAGGTTTGGAAGAAGGGAAAGATACCTGCCGATTAACTGGAAGAAGGGCTACCTTATTAAACCCCCAAAGAAGGGAGACCTCAGTGTTTGCAAGAACTGGTACGGAATCATGCTCCTTTCCACACCAAGCAAAATAGTAGGCCACATCATCCTGGAGAGACTAAATAATGCTCTGGATTCAAAATTACTAGAGGAACAGGCTAGCTGGCTGGCTAGCTTCAGGAAGAACAAGTCATGCGGCGAGTAAATTGCAACGCTGCGCAGCGCATCATCATTAAACACAGCACACAATGTCAGTTAGCTGAACACAACTTCATCGATTTTTAAAATGCCTTTGACACCGTCGAGATGTAGTTTGGCAGGCAGCTGCTTCAACAATACGGTTTTAGTGTCACAAACCTTCATCAACCTCATTCAACAGCAGCTATATGCCATATGATGCTACATGCTGTGTGATTCACAATGTAAAGTTCAGTGATGCCATGGAATTTAAGTGAAGACAGAAGTGAGACAAGGTTGCCACCTACTATCACCGATGATCTTGCTGATTGTGTTCGACTGGGCTGGACTGGATCATGCAACAGACAACTGTGAGGAGAGAGAAGATGCGCATACGCAGACTGGACGGATGAAAAGACTCCAGAAGAAGATTTGGATTTCGCTGCCGCTGATGATAATTATGATTTATGTCTAATATCTTGTATCGCACAAACTCGAAGATCTACAGGCGAAAGGTGACAAGTTGGCAGAGGAGGTGAGGTGAGGCAGCGAAGAAAGACACGACTTCAGAAGGACGCAGAGAAGACAAGTGATGAAGATACCCAACCAACAGCAACAACAACAACAACAAGTACCAATCAACCAAATCTAAACAAAATTGTCTCTTTCACCCACCCACCTACCTACCTACCTAGGCAGCATCGTCTCAACTACAGGTGGCGACTGCACAGATGAGGATATCAAAGCCAGAGAGGATCGGGAAGACAGCAAAACAGGCCCTCACTTATCTGAAATAATTAGTGTGGAGATCTACTCCACTCAGCATAAGGAACAGAATCCGGATTTTCAGCACTAATATCAGTCGAGTCAGTCAGTGCTTCTATGTGATGGTTGAGAGCCTTGGCGTGTTACGAAAAGTATTTCCAACAAACTGCTGACATACTTCATCAACAGCTGCCGTCTACGCTCACTCAATAATGACAGTGAAGATCAGATGGCCAGAATAGTAATAATAAAAAGCAAGGTACTCACTTGGGTCTGCCAACGAACAAACCAAGAACCTATCGCCCAACAAATATGCATTAGAAGAAAGTGGAGATGGATCGGGTATACACTTAGAAGACTGTTCGGGGACATCACGCATCAGGCCACAGACCTCCAGTGGAACCCGAATGGGAAACGATGAGTTGGGCGTGCGAGGGTGACATGGGGAGTAGATCGTGTGAGGAAGAAATGAAAGCTGATAGGCAGTGGTGGAGCCAGGTGTAAGAGGACTGAAGAGAAGAAACTGAAGTAGCGACGTGCTAGTGATATTCTATCTTCTTCTAGGAACCCAAAGGATGAATAATAATAATTAATTGTCATTTAACATCAATAAGACCAGTATGCTACACTTCCCCTGTCTTATTCACCTCGATTGGGACACGGTTTAAGACAGAAAGTCCTGGTTGGGTAGCTGTTTTAATTGCACTCAGCTGACGCACACCGATAGACGATATTAGCCTATCGAATTTACTGTTTCCTTGTTTGAATTCTGTAGAGAAGTTTGTCGTGGATTCCCAATGAGGTCTTATGGTATTTCGCTGATCTGTCAACGTCTGTCAGATAATGAGCGATGGCATACTTCCTTCCTAGTTCTTCTCATCTCCAGGCAGTACAGAAAGTCATCGCTGGAGGCAATGATTGATTCACTCAACCATACTAGTTGAAAACTAGATGACTACCCTCACATAGACGTAGTGCATAACAATTAGATTTACTGATGACATATTTTAAGAAATAACAACTGGTCGGACACACATAGCACTGCACGTTGATCTGTAGGTTTTGCTAGGCAGATCAGAGTAATGTAAGTATCGGACGGCTGTTTCACTCGTTTAGTCCCGAACAAATGCAGCTCATTTAGTTGGTCACAACTAGCTTGAAATGATTATGAAAATCATGCAAGAAAACCATTTCAACCTAAAGATAGCAAAACAATGTGAACAAATATTGTTGATTGGTGTTTAAATGCAACTGTGTGTAGCACTATGATTTCCTCCGTGCATCTTAAATACTTTACTCGGTTTGTATACCACCTGCATACAAATTAGTGGAAATATCATAACTGCTTTTTGCTGATTCAGGATTCCCAACAAATGGGTACCTGTCATCCCGCTGAGATAATCAGGTTTCACGACAAATAGGTTAACCATTCAGTCACTTCACCTGAATTGGATTCATATGAGTTGTACATCGCCATCGAGCATTCCTAAAATAGGATAAGGCAGAGGGTTCTTTCATTGTGACCTTGAATGCTTTGTTCATAATGAGAATAACTTCCCGCTTACCAAGTGAAACCACCTGGAGAATCATAAAATACCAAGATATTCTGGACAAATTCTGCAGCTCACATTGCCTTGAAATCCGTCAATTTTTTTCAAAACCGCTTCATGTTTTCTTATGTCTTTAAACGTAAACAGTTTATTGTTGTATCATAAAGTTTTCATTTAAACTTCATGTCTTCCTCATTCTAATTTCAGCAATTTGGTTTAGAACAACTTAGAATGGGTGCACAAATGCATGATTCGCTACGCGGTCCACTGTGTGCTTTATTACTACTATCGTATGATTTATATGCTACTCATATGCTAGGTAGGTAGTATGTTGACATTTTGTAAAGTATAACTTGTGTATAATATATTTCTGTAGTAAAAATGATAGGCACTACACAAACTCGGCGTATCTCTCACCATATTTACTGAGGTAGGTGTATTTTTTCGACATACTGGACACCAATTGTGAGGTGTTCAGCCTAAATTTGTAAACGGTGATGGATTTCAAGATGTTTGTCGCTCAAAGTATCCTTCTAGATGAGATAGGAATCACACCTACCCAATGGAAATCAATAAATTGGGAGAGAGATGACCATCTTTATTTACATTTAGCAACTATGTTAAACTTTGATTGAGCATAACTTTGAATTTATTTCCCAAAAATTTGAAACCGAAGCGATTCTCCAACAATAAAGCGAACGTTCGACTTAAACGCAAAATCCAAAACATAGGATTTGTGTGAAATACGGCTGCTTACGAATAAGCGATGGTGACTAATAAATTACAAACCTCGAATCGTGAGGTATCTGTGGGTTTATTGTTATCAAAGAACCATACCGAAGGTGCGTTGACAGCACAAATAGTAAGACTGTGTTCAAAGTAAACCAGAAGGGAATATAAAGGACGCGCGCATTTTCCCACAACTAAGTAAATATATGAGATAAACAAATGTTCAAGGTAGGATAGAACGTCAGAAAGTAAAGAAAGAGATTCAAACACTATCATGGACTGTTAAAAATTCTAATATGTAGATATGTTAAATTACGAATTTAATGTGATTGAATCGAATGAACAGTCGAGATGCAGCAACCTTAAAGGGAAAATGAACTATACTACTTAATATTATTAACATCCAGATGGTAGTTGTTACGAGTGTCCTGAAAAAAGTTGAGCACCGAGTCTGATTGAATCATTATAATAATATATTTTAATATAATCCCAGCGTGTTTAGAAAATCAAAAAAAGATATTTCTGAACGTTTCAAGAAACGTCAAGGTTAACCAAACACGTTGGGATTATATTAAAATATATTAGTATAATAGCAAGTAGTATGAAACTGAATACAGAAAAAGCTCGGCAAATTGACGAATAATATTATTGCTTGTACATCCAGTGGACAAGTCCCAAATTAGACGAAATACACATCCTGGACTTCGGTGCTAGCCACTGTCCATCATTACTTGAGATGAGAGAAAACAGAGCAGCCTAGGAATTAACTATGACTAACTTACAAAGTGCTTGGCGCCACCCAAAGAATTCAACTGGGACAGACTATTGTACATAAAAACACCAATTATTATTATTGTTATTATTATTATTATTTGTCCCTTGGGTTACTAATGGAACATAGGGCTTCAGTAGCACGTCTCCACTCCACTCTCTTCTCTGCAGTCTTTTCAACCTGCATCCACCACTGCCAACAACTTTTCATTTATTCCCCACACAATCTCCTCCGTGTCGAACTATCCACGCACGCCCAACTCATCGTTTCCCATTCGGATTCCACTTGACGACCTGGCCTGAAGCGTGATGTCCCCAATTGGCCTTCTCAGTGTATGCCCAATCCATCTCCACTTCCTTCCACTGCATATTTGTTCAGCGATAGCTTCTTGCTTCATTGGTTCGTTCCCAGAATTCCTTCTTGCTCATGCTTATTATTCTGGCCATCTGATCTCCATCTTCAGTATGGAGCCAGCGTAGACAGTTGTTGATGAATATCTGTAGTTTGTTGGAAATGGTTTTCGTAACGCGCCAAATCTCTGAACCAAATAGAAGCACTGAGTTGACTGGCATTGGTGTTGAAAATCCGGATGTTGTTCGACATGCTGAGTGCAGAAGATCTCCACACTGGTTTCAGGCTAATGAACGCCAGTCTCGCATTTTTAATCCTGGCTGCTTTGACGTCCTTGTTTGTGCCGCCTGTAGTTGAAACAGTGCTTCCTAGATAGGTGAAGGAGGCTACTTCCTTTGGGTTTCTCCCATTGATGGTGATTGGAGTTTGTTGTTGTTGTTGTCGTTGGAGTTGTTGGTGCGGTATCTTCATCATCTCTGTCTTCTCTATATTCACCTGAAGTCCCGTCTTCGCTGCCTCTTCTATCAACTTGTTAGTTTTTGCCTGTAGGTCTTCAAGTTTGTGTGACATCAGGCACAAGTCATCGGCGAAATCCAAGTCTTTTAGGTTCTTTTCCGCGGTCCAGCGAACCCCCTTCTTCTCGCTCCCCACTGTTTGCTGCATGATGCAGTCGACCACAATCAGGAATATCATGGGTGATAGTAGACAGCATTGTTTCACTCCTGTGTTCACTTCAAAAGCATCACAGAGCTTCCCATTTTGAATTACTTGGCATGTGGCGCCTTCATATAGTTAGTTGTTGAATGAGGCGGATAAAGGTGTGAGGTATTCCGTAGTATTGAAGCAGTTTCCAAATTACCTCTCACTCGACGCTATCAAATGCCTTCTCAAAATCGATGAAGTTGAGTTAGAGTTGCGTTGACTGTCATTCTATACTCTGTTCTATGATGATGCGAAGCGTCGCGTTGCAATTTAGTCCGCACATGACTTGTACTTCCTGAAGCCTGCTTGTTCCGGTTGTAGTTTTCAAATCCAGTGCATCCTTTAGTCTCTCCAGGATGATGTGGCTTATTATTTTGCTTGCTTAGGCTGGACAGCAGCATGATTCCGTACCAGTTCCTGCAAACACTGAGGTCTCCCTTCTTCGGGAGTTTGACAAGGAACCCTTTTTCCAGTCAATCGGCAGATACCTTCCCTTCCTTGCAAACCTTCTGCACTAGTGGTGTGAGTATGTCCGCTGTTGTCTCTGCATCTGTTCTCAGTGCTTCAGGTGGTGTTCCATCTTATCCTGCTGCTTTCACCAATTTCAGTGGCTTAATGGCGCTCAGGACTCGACTTTTGTTTGAGGACTTATGTTCACTTGTAGTTCTGTGGCTGGGCTGTAGGTGGTATTTCTGGATGAAGTGCAGGTGGTGGTGGTGGTCGATTCAAGAGCTTTTTGAAGTGGTCAATCCATTGTTTCCTTTGTTTCTCCTCTTTGGTAATTAGCTTTCCTTAACTATCTTTCATTGGTTTCGTCTGTGTTGGTCTCTTCTCAGATAGTAGCCTGGTTTTTTGATATAATGTTGTCAGGTCTCCCCTACCTGCAGCTTGTTCTGCTTCACTTGCAAGTGTTTTGTAGAAGTGTCTTTTGTTATTGCATGCACTCTTCTTCACTTCTTTGTCGAGTGTAGTGTTTTATACATTGTACTCAGTTCCTGTTGTCCTTGTGCACTCTGGCACTGGTTTATCTTCTGTTTCACCATCCCCCTCTCCTCTATCAGCTTACATGTGTCCGTCGAGATCCGTTCCTTGTCTTGCTTCATTTTCTTTCCTAACACGGTTATGCAGGTTACTTTCCACATAGCTTTCAAAGACTTCCAGTGTTCTTCCACATAGGTTTTTTCAAGAATGTTCCTCGATATCTCCCACTTTGTCTTGATTGCTGACTGACGTGAAGATGTCGTTTGTAGTTCCATCCTTCAGTTTCCGGATGTCGAACTTGAACTATGGTCTGGCACCAGCTCCCTTGAATTGTAGGCTTTCAACTTGATTTTGAAGGCAGACTCCTTGCAGTAGGTAGTAAGTGGAATGAATCTACATCTGCTCCTCTTCTTGACCTTGTGTCAAGTAGGCTGACTGCGTCTCCACTTTCTTCACATTGAGGTGAAGTCGATCTGATTTTTAGTGTGTGCTAGTGTCTGGTGAAATCCATGTTACTCGCTTTGTGGATATCCTTGTGCTTGAACACAGTGCCTCACTGCAATCATTAAATCGTTGAATGCACAGAATTCTGCAAACAATTCTCCATTCTTGTTCATCAACTCACCGAGTGCTTCTCAACCCATGGTTAGTTCTCTTCCTGTGTTGTCCACTCCCACTTTGGCATTCATGTAACCCCACCCATTAGAATTTTGATGTCGCCAACTGGAGTGGGGTCTTGTTCAGTGCTGATTACAGTTGTCTGTAGAATTCCTCCTTCTTCTCTTCGTCTACATTATTTGTAGGTGAGTAGCGTAGCATTGTGTGATTGTGACTTTCCTTCCTTTTGAGTTGAACCTTGCTGTTATGATCCTGCATGAGGAGATTGGTTCCCACTGCATGAGAGACGGCCTTTGATGCTGTTGGGGACATCATGATAGCCACTCGAGAACTCAGTGTGTTCGTGTTTGTCGTGTGGGTGAGAATATCGGAGTAGATTATTGACTCTCCAGTTGATAGTTTGGAGAGTCCACTTCCATTCCATCTGCTTTCGCAAACTCCTAACACTTCAATGTGATACCTTCTCATCTCTTTTGCAATGTGGGCAGCCTTGGTAGGTTCAAACATGGTGCGGACACTCCATGTCCCCACGTTTACTTTCACTTTCATGGAGGGAGAGAAGACACATCAGTGAATTGGCTTCTTGAAGGCTTTCACCAACCGACGTTATTTCGTCTCCGCGATTCCAGCTAGGAATAGGTTTATTTTTATTTTTTTAATTCTCTCTGTGCTTTGAAGTTTGTTTGACTATTGGATTAGTTTTCTGGGTAGGATTGCTAGCCCTATGCTCAACCTTCCTTCTTTACCCGGGGTTAGGACCGGCTAGTAACTAGTGAACTAGTTAACCAGCCGAGGTTAAAAACATCAATTACTGTACCCTAACTCTCTTTCAGTGATTTCCCCATCAAAACTGTTTTCGAATAGTGGATTATTCTTTTGAAAGCTTCAGCGATTTATTCACTACTTAAAGATCTTCTGTTCATCTAAAAGTGCACTGTTTTTTGACTGCCCCATTTTAAAGTTGTGTGTAATTCTAATTTAATGACACTAAGGTCGCAGACACATTTGGATCTTCACGATCACTGGGTGCAGAGAAGCAAATGTTTGGTCTCATCAAAAGCTGTTCACTGGTAGTTTGTTGTATCAGCCATGGCTGTTCATCTGTCTGAAATCCTTCAACCATAAAAAATGATCACCTGAGATCAACCGGCGCATGCCAGTTATCAAACCTGGTTACTCTTCTTGAGTACACCGTGTAATTTTGATCTGTATTGCATTACATAGAGCTGTGGGACAACTGATAAGTGGACATATGTGGAGACTACTGTCTGTTGTGAATTCTTTCCAACGTTCTTTTTGACTTTTCTCCCCTTTTATGCTACCACATCATCTTTATTCATGCAGTTCATACTACTTATAAACATTAAGTAGTATGATCATTTTTGCTTAACAATTCTCCTCCGTAAAAATTTCATTTTGACATTTCAGTATATAGGTTTCTTTAGCATTTCATGATCGTGTTGCGTTCCCTCCAGCTGCTTTTCTAATATCCCATCCTCTTCTGAGTATTCGGTTATTTTGTCATAGACGTTCTTATGGAGGTCTTCCTCTTGTCGTGTGATATTATGTGGTTTGATCTAATCACACCAGAATCCTTGGTGGATCTTGAATAAGCAGATGACAAAGTTCAGTTGGGTGAGGACGCTGACAAGATATAATGCCTTCTGAACACACTGAATGCCAATTTGACAATATTCGAGGTGTATTTCTCACCATCCAAGTGTTAACTGTTCCTCTAAGACTGGTCTTCACTCGTGCACTGTCAAACAATAGGGAGTGGAACAGCTGATTACATCAACCACTTCACTTACCTGAAACATCGATTCAGTCCTGATGTGGAGGTCAGTGTGGAAAAAATCTTCGCACTGATACAATAAGCTCAACTAACGTTTGCCAAATTACGACACTCATGGTACTAATGTTAAGCGTTGAGTATACTGCGCTAAACTTCGCTCTGTTGTACTCTATATATGGCTATGAAATATGGACATTAAATGTAGTACACAGGAGAAGGTTGTAGGTGTTTGACCACCATCGCCTTCATACCACCAGGTAGTAGGTCGTGGTGTCACTATATCAGTAATGCATAAGTCAGATGTAGAGTTTAAGGGAGAAGAGGAAAGTCAGTTGATGTGGTTGTGAACCTTCATCGACTAATATGGCTGGGATAGGCATGCCTAATCACCGTCTGTCTGGTTGCGCAATGTTAGCTGAGGTAGGTTTAAGGTTGAAGTCCTCGACTGTCAGTTTGAGCTATGTACGGTGATGTAGTCTAGCTAGTTGGGGTCCGTGGCAGAAGAAAAACCAGTGGTAAGACCCTTTAGGTGACGTGGCTCAGAACCGATGTCAGCAGCACGCATGTATACATACACTACCCCTGTCTTAACCGTTATATTTGATCTCATCATATACTCATTCTTCCTTCCTCTCTTCTGATGCTTTCTACCACGTTTTTACTGGATATACTGATATCAGATATGGCAATTTGGACTGTCGTGCAATGATGACTGGTCCTATGTTGATATTGGTGATGATGTAACCTTTTTACGTCTTCATATGAAATTTATTTTCTATAATTTGCCTTGGATTTGCTGTTTAGCTTATTGACACATTTCCTGTTAGAGGGTTTTGAGAGGGATATGCCCATCCACACCTTATGATTTAAAGTTTAGGGTTTACCAATCATTTTTTATAAATAATTAATAAAGTTACGCATTTCAGCCAGAACCTGCGCGTCACTCAAAGTTCAGTTATTTCTTGAGAAATCGACTTAACGTTATGTAATGGATTATTTATAGGAATTTCATATCTATTTTGTGTTGTAATTTGATGTCCAAGCTATATATTTTAGAAGTTAAATGTTAACTCTTCAAAAAAGATATTTTTATAGCTGGTGTTCACTTTCAAATCTTCTACTCCAGCCTATAAACTATGATGAGTATTTCGGACATCGAAAATCTTTGCTTCTAAGAGAACCCCACATTATTTCACATATAATAATTAGAATAATTATTTTGTAAGCTTCAGAACTTAGAAAATAATCTAGTTGCTTCTGATTGGTCATTTCAAGGACGAAAGATTCGCGTTTTTTCAAAAAGGTAACTTTGTAAAAAATATCACATTACTATACATTTAAATCCTTTTTTCTTATTTTCTTTCCTTTAGGTGACAGTGTTGTAAGTGTGTGTAAGTTAATAAATTTTGACTTTTGAGCAATTTTTTAATTCCAGTAATTTTTGTTTTACACGAATTTTGTACATTCATTAATCATGCTAAAGTTGAACAGACTATGACAGAATTACTATGGCCTACCGAATGCAAAGAACTCAAATGATTACTGAAGAAGGAGAAGAAGAAAAATGCTGAAAGAAGATGAAGAAATTGTTGGCATCTGGCAAAAACCATTTTTTACTATAGTCATCTCGTGGATTTCTTGTTTTAACTATAAACCTATACCATACTAGATTCGGAAGTGTATGTATTATCCATAGGCCTATTTTGATACTTAATAATCAAAGATTGAAGTTTGTGAGGTAGTAGGTCTCAAATTGATGATTTAGCGATGTTTGTCGTCAGCTGCTAACATCACTGAACATCCCACTTTGACTGAATTAAATGAGGACTAAACTCTTGCTGATGAAATAAAACTTAAAAGCGGTTAGACGAATATCTCACTATGAAATATTCGATGTTCAATCGACTATAATTCCCTTTTATAATTGTTAAACCGGTTCTTGGATTGAGATGTACGCTACACTTTAAAGTATGAGTAGAGTTTTCAATGCATGAAATTGTGTATACACAGCACCTGCATATGCATAACTGAATAGCCTTTTCTCCTGATAAATAAATGGCTTACAATACTCTATTGATGACTGTATACTTTCGTTAATTATCACCATCACTGGGACTAAATGATCAGCTTCTGTTGACATATGAGCCCCATTTTCACAACACATCGAAACTGTTTTAAGTTCCATTCAAGTATTACTTGTTTAGTGATGGTTAGGAGTGGAATCCGAAACAAACATTTCGTTCTATTTAAGACTCGTCAGTTGAAACCACTTTCCTAGAATTCACTACTCCGAACGCCAGACTTCATGTAATTTATTATCTCGGCAGCTAACATTCCTTTTTTGAAGTGATATGTGCTAGGTTTGGTTCACAATCAAAACAATATGTCTCATTAGACTAAAGTATACCAAGCTGAAGAATCCTATATAGTACGAAACGCATATCAACTTGGATTCAGCTACCAGTCACCATCAAGCTAAATAACATCTAATTTCATCAGTTTACTTGCATTTGGTTGTTTTTAAATGTTACTGCCATGTAATAAATCTTTCTTAGATAGAAAGTCTGAAAACTCAAGAAAATTGGCAGTTACATTAGCTGAGTAGATGAAAGTTTATGGATACTTTATATATTGAATGTAACTGAAGGAAGATAATTAATACAGATTAAGGTTTAGAGTGGGAAAATAGACAAGGGATTATGAAATTCAATGGAATCGCGTAATACAGGATGAATGTATGGTAAAGTAGGAAACTGAAAGAAGGGTTATGGAGATAAAATTGCAATTATGTAATACTGGATAGATCTATGACAGTAAGAAAATGAACTAGGGGTGAAGGAAATACGTGTATAGTTACCTAATACAGGATGAATCTATGACAGTCACGGTTTTGTGATGGCCCCGGAAAAGATAAGGTTTGGACTTACCTTTTTTGAACGCATAACGCTGGTTTGAAGTTCTAAATAGCTAGGGCTTCAGCTGTAGACAAATGTTTTGGTCTTACTGTCTTTTAGAGATTTGATGGAATCCTGTATAGGGTTTTGAATGAGCTGTCAAAAGGAGCTAAATGGTCTGAGTTCACAAGGTGTTCTGTTATTGAACTGAATATACACTTCCGTTCTCCATTTGCCAACCAGACTGGGTAGTGTTTATGGGGACGTTTTGCAGGTGAATGCATGGTACGTCGAATATACTCAGCTCCACAGGAGCAAGTAAACTAGTATACACACATCGATGTGGCCCAGTTCACATTGACCAAAACGTTTATTGCAGTAGAAAATAATTTCAAGATTGGCGACGAAGTATATTCTATTTAAGGATTTTGACAGTCATTTCCAGAGGATGTCTGCACCAATACAAATTTTGAATTCAAAATTCAACAAGAGAATTGTATTCGGCATCAAATGTGTTCATTCAGTTGGGTTATTTGACCTTATGTTCTTATCTATAAATTTGGGCTAGAAACAGTTTTCCGGTAAAGTTTGTCGATGTGTTTGCAGTTCTTTGTGAACAGTGTCCTCAGTACATATTTTCGTGATCCTCGTGGAAAGTGGAGCGATAAAATTCCCTTCCTGCATACAGTGACTGAACTTTGAAAAGTAATGAGCTTTTCATTCCATATAGACTTTCTGTAGATTGATCTACGAAGTAAATTATCCTTTTTTCTTTAGAGTTGAACATCAAGAAAATGGAAAGCTTGAATTTGATTCTGATGCTAGATTGAATTTAATTGAATGGTCAGTGTTGTTGAAGGCATGAAGCAAGTTTGCAAGATTCATATTTTCACCACAAACTACAAGGGCATCATCGATGTATCTTTTGTAGACATGAAGTTCATTGATTGTTGATGATGATTTGGTGTTTTCCAGGCCTGTCATGAAGCATTTAGCTAGGAGAAGTCCTAATCTTCTTCTGATTGACAGAGTTAAAATTAGTATGGTTTATGAATTTACACTGGATGTTATCGACTAGTGAACAATTCAGAATTGTACCTTTTTCTGTAACAAACACACTTATGTCGTTTAAATACTCTTCCTCCATTTTTATTCTTCACGCTTAGCATGTGAACAGCCAGAACATTTTAAAGAAGCTCGTGAATTACTTGATCAATGGTCTGTTGTATATCCTAAAAGCGCCATATTCCTGCTGTTAGCTGGTCGACTAGAAGAAATATCTGGAAATCTAACTGCGGTAGATATTATTATTATTATCATTACTATTAGCTCACATTTTTTAGGATGTAATCTGTGTTGTTTTGTTCTGATGGATAACTGGAAAAAAGACAGCATTAAATGGGTATTTTTTTAGCACTCATCAGCTGCATAAACGCATGATATATCGCGAGATAAGCAACCTTACAATTTTCAAAAACAACTAATCAATACCTGTCACAGTTGATTTAATGAAAATGGACCATTTCATTATCATATTATTCTTGAGAACAAGTTAACTGCCCATAGAACAACGAAATTTCAACATTCGCAACTTTGTTACGTGGATATGATGCCATTAAATTTGTTATTACGGGGTGATAATTGAAGATAAAATGAAAATCTCGGTCACCATGGATGCTCTATCAGATGAGGGATTTACTTGGTTGCCATGAGAAACCGTAGATCTTTACATTATTGTAATCGTACTGAATGCCGAAGTAGGTCGTCTCACCATACTCTAAATCAAGCTGAGTCTGAGAGTGAGAAAGTGACTGTCGTAGATGGTCATGGTTTGGTAGACTGGTGTCAGGAGTACTAGACTGTTGTCGAAGGTGAGATGGAAACGTGACTACCGGTTGGATGTCATGGCCCAGTTGGTCGAGTATTGCGGGGCAAGGGAGTAAACTCAGAAATCGCTGGCTCGCATTCTCCGGTGAAACTAGGTGTTCACTTCATCCCTAATCACTACCGAGTGTGAATAACATCAGTCTACCAAATCAAGAGTACATTAGATGGTCTAAAATACACAAAGGACAGGTAAAGTACACTACAGTCCGTTCTATCCTGGATTAGTTACAAGGTGTATTGCTAATATCTGATGGAATCATCGTGTGAGCAGTGTTGAAGTCAGTTGAAGGGTACTAGGCAATACAAACGAGTCGATTGATGAAGTTATGAATCTTAGTCGAATAAAATGGATTGGACATGTGCTGCGCATGCCGAGTCACCGCTTACTTCAACATATCCTGTTAAGGGAATTCGGGTGCCCAAACCAAGACTATATAGTCCCTGATCGTTGGTCTGAGTCCTGTAAGGAGATACAGAATGCTTGGTTGCGGTCATCGAGATGACAGGAATCAGTGATTGACGACTCTTGGTGACATGGCTGAAAATTGATCACAATGACGCAGATGCATTCACTCTTTGACATCTTTTAAAGCTTGGAAATTTGCAGTAACCATTATCTTCAAACTGTTTATTCTCTTACATAGAAGTGCTCTAACTTGAGCCGACTATGAGGTGATTTCTAACACTAACAACTTAAAATGTCTGCGAAATATTTGCTAAATTTTCAAGCATCACTTATAGTTATTCCTGTTCTAAATTAGTGTTAACTTTTATAAATAATATGCATGGTAATAAGAGGAGAAGTAAGAACCAAGGATTCGAAATCTCTCCGATGTTACCATACAACGAAAGTATGACAGAAAGTGTAGACAAGATTCTCAGTAGGGTTGCATTCAGGATGGCACTTAACCCTAGAAACTCGCCAGAAAAAGCATGGTAAACTGAAAGATCTTTTAGGAATTATCCTTGCACGAACTTGACAAACGTAGAGGCTAGTTACTAATTATTCTTACTTGTTATGTAAGCACATGAATACGAGACCAAGAAAGAACACAATAGCGTAGTCAGATGGAACAGTATGTTTTCGAGATCATGCCAAAGTATCGATGAGTTTCGACTTGCTGGCTGGAAGGTCGATTACGAGCACTACAACGTAACACGATAGCGTGTCAAATGAAGTAGATGCTTGACCGTGTGCCTTCAGCTTAGAAAGTCCAATAAAACTATGAAGGTCAGCATCAATGTTGAATCTCGTCGAACCCTAGGCTATTGATTCTGGAGAAGTATATGACGCTACAATCTTACATAGCATACCAGGCAAAATAGACAGTCTATCAACTTTTAGGCAGTGATCGTGTAATCGAACACACTAATCCAGGTAGTCAACTAGGAGTCAGTCAATTGCAATAACAGAGCTGAAAAAAGTGACTAAATCTATAATAATAGACCTTAATTAGCTGAGAAATCTAGAGGAAAGCTTAGCTAAACTTATTCACGCAATTGCAAGTAAACACACAAAAGGATGAGACAAAGTGGCGTTTGCAGAAGCCAACTTAAATCGATAAAGGGAGAGACTGATAACTAAAAATCTCTGCACCACAGACATTCATGATTTTCTGCAGGCAATAGATACGTGATGCTTGGGACTATTCACCTTCTGGTTGACAACTCACTTAGTTTAGTCAAGAACCTTTTTGCTGGCATATAGTCAGTATGAGATTCCAACTACACGAAGTTATCAGTGCTGAATAAATGCAATATAAGACAACTATTTGCCTATCAACTAACCAAAAAACGTTAAACAAACTGGCTTGTTCTAGACCTGCTAGAATTTTCGAAATGCACTGAAAAACTTTGATAATGTATTTGTACTACTTAAACAAATTTAAGTAGCATAAACTTATTATAAGTTTCTACGCGGTAGTGGACATGAATGATATGCGTTTGACATTTTAGGCTATCGGATTATTTCAACGGTCTATAGACTCCCAGTCTGATTGGATCCATTATCATCATCTTTGTTATTGGGAATTGATTTGGTGTTATGCGTAAGTTTTGTTAATTTTTTGTTAGATCCCCTATTTACACTAACTTTTTACGATAGAACTCATGTTATCAGAGTTTAGTGACTGGGATTCACTAAACGTGAGAGGCAGTTTAAAAGTCACTATTAATATCAGTATTTTGATGCATTCGTTTTTGAAGTTGAGAGTTCACAACAGTTTTAGTTGGATGGAGGCAATGGGTAGGCAACCATTGTCTTAGGCCTATCTACAACCGAGGTGGAACTGATGTTCTCACTGGAATTCTAACCCGTGTCGTACAGTGCTACAGTCGGAGATATTAGAAGCCAGGGTTGATCTCGTGTAAGGCAAGTTTGCATACACCGATTAGTCACTGTAGGTTAGCCAATATCATGTCTAGTCCTATATGCTGGTCGGATTCTATCAATCATCTAATTAACAACAATGATGGGTAACTTACTTGAAATCTCACCTTGGGAAATGGAGATAAATTCAAAACCAGTTTTCATTTCCCCCCTCCCCCCCCCACCGTCAACCACGCACACATATACCGCTCAAATGAAGTTAATTGTGGAGGTAGAATGATGCATATTATTTGTATTATGAATACAACTCAGAGTGAAAATGTCAAAAAATTATGATAAAGTTCATTGCTTAGAAATCAAACTTCATAACATGGTTCTGAGACATGACCATAGAAAGTAGAAGATATATGAAGATTATAAGTTTCTGAACATAGGTAGCTTAGTAACATTGTTCGTGTCTAGTAAAACCGCCATTTTGGTAACATCTAGTTTAGGTGAAGGGTACTTGACGAAAAAGTGAAGTCAATCAGTGAGGTTGTGCACCGTCAATGACTCAGGTGGCTTGGATATATATTGTGTATGCCGAGCCACCGGCTACTTCATTGTTCAATGCCAGGAGGGTAGAATTAGATTGGGAGAAGGTTTGGAGTGACCAGATTAACTCATGACACCAGTACAAGCAATAATATGCAGTCACCAGCTGCGTTTAGTTTTGAAACAAGGAATGAATAGGGAGGCAAGCATAAGTGTAGTGATAATGGTCTAAGTTAGGCCAAATGTACGGCCAGGCGTGGGGGTTTCACAACATTTTCCCTACTTCCGGCCAGAAATCTACAATCCCAGCTGACTATATCAAGTGTGCTTTAGTGCGTTAAAATCCCTATCACATTCTGTCATAGCATTTTTTCTTCATTTTAATGCTAACTCGCAAAATAATAGATTGAAAAATTTTTTAAAGTGCCCAATGAGTACATAGTATCTAATATCTGTTTAACTAGCTTGTGTAAGCCAGTCGATTTGTTCGTTATCACTTCTTGGTCTTGCTGAACGGTTTCAGGCCTTCAACGGATTACGATGTAGTAGATCCAACCACTCGTCTTCTATAGCTCTGGTATACAGAACGGCAGGTTGAATGTTGGTTAGTTTGTTTGTAACTGTGGTCCAGTTAGGTTCTTCATATATCTAGTTGCCAAACAGTTGATCAGATTCGTCGTTAGAGAGAGTTACGGATAGTAAAGAGATAACCCCTAGGAAGACAAATGTGTGTGAGTAAAAGACAATGAAAAGTGAACTGATGGAGTAATCTACTTACAACCAAATAAGACGAGTAGGGTGAAAAGATATGCAGAACTTAAATGAGTGAAGTCAAATCAAGAAGAGAATTAGTGTAAAGGTAGACCGAATTGATCGGTTTCTATTGGTACATGGGCTCCTGTGCGGATGTCTCAATATTACTTGTGTTCTAATTATATTAATGATGGGTCATGGCTAGCAGTGGAACCCAGGATGCGCATTTCGTCCTACTTGGGACTCGTCGGCTGGATGGGAACAACATCACTCAATCACTGGGAAGCAGGTACATCCAGCTGACGAGTCCTAAATAGGACGAAATGCACATTCGGGATTCTGTTGCTAGCCACGATCCATCATTAATGCATTCCAGTGCCCACAGATTCTTAAAATTCTGCCTTTTATGAAAAAACATATGAGCCAAATCCGTTACTTTCATTGTTTTATAGTTGGTGATAGTCGGCAGGTGATGCAGTCATTTGGGGAGTAATGCATATAACTTTCATCAATGCATCAGCTAATAAATTTACATTTCTTATGAATTGTAACAGGATGAAATAGGCTCTTCATTGCTTCGTTCGAAACAGGTCAAAAGTGATTAGCTTTTTAGACCAGAAATATACTTATAGTGTGAAAAGCTTTGTCAACCAACAACGCTTCAGTTGAGAGACATCCAGCTGAAATCTAAATGACACTTAGAGGTCGATTCTACAACTCTTTTCAGTGATCTGGTTAAATTTTGGGCTATCAAAAGATATATCCTGGGATTTATTTCATCAAATAGCCCCTTTTTTACTTGTTTTAATCATTCAAATTTTGATAAATAGTAAAACATACTCTCCCGCACTCTTAAAATGTCTTCAACTTATTGCTAGACGGGTTAACAACAAGACTATGAGAAAATTATTATATTATTATTTGTCCCTTGGGTTCCTAATGGAACATAGGGCTTCAGTAGTACGTCTCCACTCCACTCTCTTCTCTCCAGTCTTTTCAACCTGCATCCACCACTGCCAACAACTTTTCATTTATTCCCCACACAATCTCCTCCGTGTCGAACTCGCCACGCACGCCCAACTCATCGTTTCCCATTTGGATTCCACTTGACGACCTGGCCTGAAGCGTGATGTCCCCAACCGGCCTCCTCAGTGTCTGCCCAATCCATCTCCACTTCCTTCCACTGCATATTTGTTCAGCGATGGCTTCTTGCTTCATTGGTTCGTTCCCAGAATTCCTTCTTGCTCATGCTTATTATTCTGGCCATCTGATCTCCATCTTCAGTATGGAGCCAGCGTAGACAGTTGTTGATGAATATCTGTAGTTTGTTGGAAATGGTTTTCGTAACGCGCCAAGTCTCTGAACCAAATAGAAGCACTGAGTTGACTGGCATTGGTGTTGAAAATCCGGATGTTGTTCGACATGCTGAGTGCAGAAGATCTCCACACTGGTTTCAGGTTAATGAACGCCAGTCTCGCATTTTTAATCCTGGCTGCTTTGACGTCCTCGTTTGTGCCGCCTGTAGTTGAAACAGTGCTTCCTAGATAGGTGAAAGAGGCTACTTCCTTTGGGTTTCTCCCATTGATGATGACTAGAGCTTGTTACTAGGTAGTGCATGGAAATGACAGCAGTCTATGAGAAGGGAGAAGAATTTTCTTGTGATAACCATGGAGGAAACAGTTTAACTAAATATTGTATCTAAGACCCTAAGATATATACTTCTCCTACTCCTGAATGCAGAGTATGAACAGCTAACTCCAGAGAACCAAAACGATTTCAGACCTGAATTAGGGTGTATCGATAAGATTTTCACCCTCCAACAGGTTATGGAACACAAGTATACTTATCGACCAACGGTCGACACTACCCATATTTCTTGACCTGAAGATGCCATTTGACTCAGTCAATCGTGAGGGGTTTTGGAGGTTTCTGACTGTGAGTAGACTACCGAGAAAGTAATATAACGCTAACCAAAGCTCTCTACTCGAAATCACACAACCGTGTATGGGCTTATGGAGAGTTGTCATATGAACTGAAAACAACTAGTGGTATCCCTCGGGGTTGTCCACTATCACCATTCCTATTTAATTTCGTTATAGATCTACTAATGGACATAACCTTAGGTATGTCTGACTTCACAGGGACTGACCAACTCCCTAGAGGTCATCTGGTTAACTTGGAGTGTGCAAAATGTATTGTTGTTCTAGTTGAAGACGATGACAAAATACAGAGTCTTGTGAATGCATTGAGCATAAATCTGGGTATGTTTGTCGTGCGTTACGCTTGCACCTTTCAAGTGTAAGATGATGCTGTAGGAATGGTCTACTGCAAGTACTTCCAGTCTAATGATAGGGAGTGAATTAGTGGAATGTCTCGATGTATTTACGTGCTTGGGGAGGTGTGTGAGCCCAACTTTGCTTGTTGCTGACGAAATCTCAGCTCCTCATTTACCACATTGCATCATCTGTGACTCCAAATGGTGAAATATTCGACAATTTCTCAAAGAATGAATATACTACACTGCAGTCCTTTCTATCCTGTTGTACGGCTGTGAGATATAGCAGCTAAAAGTAGAAGGTATGAAGCAGTTACACGCTTCCGACCACACGTGTCTTCGTGACATTCATCAAGTGTGATGAATGTTGAGATGATGCGAAGGGTACTAGAGAAGATAGGCGAGTTGATTGATAAGATTGTGAAGCTTCATCGGCTGAGGTGACCTGGACATTTACAGCCCATGCCTAGCCATCACCTACCTCAACGGGCCCATCTGAGGGAAGCCGTAGTAGGTTCGAAGATGGTTCAGGGTGACCAGACGAACACATGGTACCAGTCTATGAAGTCTCTTACTATTGGTCTGAACCATGTGCGACGACATAGAGTGCTGAGTTATGGTCTCTGAGGCTGGAAATCGGTCAACGTGGCGCAAATATATTCACTCCTTTACCTTTTCACACTAACCTTCGTCTTCAGATCATTTACTCGCTCATTCAACTTTTCTACTGCGATACCACTCTTTTTCTATTCACCTGTTCTTTGTATGCAACTGTGAAGCGTCGCAACTTGAACCAGGGCACTTGTGCATGAGATTCTACGTTGATGTTTTCTGTCTGTCTGCGAACCTATTCCGCCTAAATTGAACATCATATATTATGAGCAGTGGTTAATACCGATTCAAAAGAGGTGTCTTAATCAGTTCTCTTAGTTGAAGCTGTCACCGCTGACTATGCTACATCTTATAAGTAAATGTCACACATGAATAACATCTTTTTATTCATGTTATTACCTCACTATCAGCCGACCTGGATAAATATGTACAAACAAGTAAACTAGCCAATATAGAAAAAGTTTCCGTCAATCTTCATGAAGCTGTCTATTTAAATCAAGCGGATAGTCATACATTTAGTACTCACTGTCGCAGTGAAGCCAGTGAAGACAGGAATAAGACAAGGCTGCCTATTTTCACAGATGATCTTTCTGATTGTGGTCTACTGGAATGGATCATACAACAAACTGTGAGGAGCGAGAAGACGGGCATACGCTGGCTGGATCACAGAAGAAGATTTGGATTTCGCCGATAATTTTTGTCTAGTGCCACACAGACTTGAAGATCTACAGGCAAGATCCAACAAGTTGGAAGAAAAGACGAGGCAGCGAAATGGGACTTCAAGTGAATGTCGAGAAGACAGGGCTGATGACGATACCCAATCAACAACAACATCAAGAACAAGCACCAATCACCATGAAAGGGAGAAACCTAAAAGAAGTTATCTCTTTCACCAACCACATAGGCATGCAGTATCGTTTCAACTACAGGTGGCGGTGGCACAGATGAGAATGCCAAAGCCAGGATCAGAAGAGCAAGACAAGCATTAATCTGAAATAATCAGTGTGGAGATCTGCACTGCACTGTAGTCCACTCAGCATAAAGCGTGAAAAACATCCGGGTTCCCGACAACAATCCAGTCAAGTCAGTCTGTGTTTCTATGTAATGGTTGAGAGACTTGGCGTGTTACGAAAAGCATTTCCAACAAACTGCAAACGTACATCATCAACAGCTGCCGCCTGCACTCATTCGATAGTCAAGATCAGATGGTCAGAATAATAAGAATGAGTAAGAAGGAACTCTGGTTGGCTGGCTGACTGGCTGGCACAAGGATATTCACAAGACAGCGACATGGATTTCACCAGATGGACACAGCACAACCCAGATCGACTTCATCTCAATCTCAAGAAACTAGAGACGCAACCTACTGGACATAAGATCAGATGCAGAAGAGGAGCAGATGCAGCTGGTTCAGACCACTCACTATCTATTGCAAGGAACTTGCCTTCAAAATCAACTTCAAAACTTTCCAATAAACTCCAGACATACATCATCAGCAGTTACTGCCGTCTACGCTCACTCGATACTGACACTGAAGATCGATCAGATGGCCAGAATAATAAGAATAAGCAACAAGAAACTCACTCTGTCCTGGCAATGAACCAACCAACGAAGAACCTATCGCCAAACAAATATGCAGTCGGAGAAAGTGGAGGTGGATTGGGTTGGACATAAACTGAGAAGACCGATTGGGGACATCATGCACCAGGACAGCCGAAGGTGACGTGGGGAGTAGATCGTGTGAGGAATAAATTACAGCTTGTGGGCAGTCGTTGATTTAGGTTAAAAAGGTTTTAGAGAAGAGAGTGAAATGGTGACGTACTACTGAAGCCCTATGTTACACTAAGAATCCAAGAGAAAAACAATAAAAGTAATAAAAATAATCACAGGTTCGAGTCACCAAGGAGATATGTCTCCTAACGATTGCAGATACGTCATGTTGATGAGTGCTGATGAGTGTTGATGAAGCACGAAGTCCGTGTCAAGCATGGTATAATTGGTAGTGCAACTTAGCAGTCTACGACCGATACGAACCTAACGAGCAAAGGAATCGGTTCTAACACAAGTGCGAACGTCAACTACCACCACAACAATACCACCGACGCACCAACAGAAGAAGAGAAGACAAACCTCTGTTGACACAGCCCTCTTCACTGTCTCAACAACAGTCAATACATTTGACAGCAATGCTGAATATATACATTTCTAAGTGACCTTGACAACACTAAATCCACATATATAGTTAACCAATAAGAGTTCAACCTTGAGAGTAGAGGGGAGAAATACTAGTAACCGTTTGAAACCAGCCATGTAAGTTATTTTAAAGTCATGGGTAAAACAGTGGCCAGAAGCTACGCAAAATTTGGGGTATATAACAAAGCAGAACTTCCTATTAAATGAATTTCCACTATCTAACACTGAAATACAGTGTACATCAGTATCGTATCACTATGACAACGGTACCTAGGCTAATTATAATTCTTTTCTTATTTTAGACTACAAGCAGATTGGCAGCAGGCAGTTTGCTATACAGAAAAGTTGGCTTTAGAAAGTCGATGGAGTCAAGCATCATATCGATATATGAAAGCAGCCTTCCTTTTGCAAAGTATCGAAGATCGTACTGTATCTGATACAATATCCAGTGGAGATGTTTCTGTTAAACCTCAACATGAGGTTGATCAATTGCTTGCGTAAGTTTTTATTCAAGTGTAAATGGTTGGATTCGAACCTAATCACAGAAACGGTTGACCTTGTTGAGTAAATCGTCTAGAATTTAACAAACATCTACAGATTAAGAATGAACTAGCCTTGGTTTTCACTACTGTTTCCATGAGTACCCTTTTCTTCATATTACATTCCGTCAAGTTATTAAATTATCTTAAATTAAACATTCTATCACAAAAGTTTAGCCACTTTTTTCTTCCATTAAATCTTTTGATTAGTTAACACACTAGAAGATGATTTTCTGTATCTTATCGAAAATTCTTAACAATATCATCTTCGAACAATTTATAAAGTAGGCGGTGTTGAATGTTGAAACATATATATAGGGATTCATATGAAATTTATACTTAATAATAGACGTTTAACTCTTGTTTCAGTTATCTATTGTTATATTTTCGTACGCCAACGGTTATGTATATTCCGAATGAATAAAATACGCATGCTTAGCTGACAGCTAACTTAGTACGCAAGAGCCACTGACTGCAATCCCGGACGAAATAGAGAGAAGCTCGAAGCTAGATGATGTAAGAGTTTATTACTCTGAAAATATAATAATAAATCAATCCCAAAACACACACATGAAAAATGACTTTGTTTCCAATTTGAGACATTTGCATAGTTAGAGTAAAGATCAACCAGTCGATGTTTTACATTTCGAATGGGAGCAGAAAATAGACTACTAGTCATACTGTAAAAGAAATGGTATGGGAATGACACGCTAAACTGTTCAGATCAATAACAATGTTTTAAACAAAACTGAGGCATCATAACATCAACAGCCTCAAGAAAAATCACTTTCTATCAAACAATTACATTTATTCTTCTGAAATATAATCATTATGCATAGTACAAGGAAACTATACTCAATAAACGACTGTTATAATGCATTGAATAGAGAAAGATGTAAGATTCGACTGAATATACACAATTATTGTGATTCACTAGTCTAGCTTACTAACGTTATGGTATTTGAAGCAATGGATCATGCATTGAATTTCAGATTGAAAAATTTTGCTGACTGCATGGTAGATACGCTAAGTTGGTGAGTTGAAACTAAGACAAAACATGTGTCATGGATTGATTCCTTTGTTAACCACCATCCATCATCATTCCCCAAATTAGTGTATCAATGAGTATTTCGTGGTCAGCTCACATTCATCTGCTCCTCTTATTGATCTTGTGTCCAGTAGGCTGTGTCTCCACTTTCTTGAGATTGAGATGAAGTCGATCTGATTTTTAGTGTGTCCTAGTGTCTGGTGAAATCCATGTCGCTGCCTTATGAATAACCTTGTGCTTGTACATACTGCCTTCAATCATCAAATCGTTGAATGCGCAGAATCCCGCTAACAATTCTTCATTCTCATTCATTTCACAAACGAGTGCTTCTCCGCCTATGATTGGTTCTCTTCCTGTGTTGTACGCTCCCAGTTATGTATTCATGTCGCCCATTAGAATTTTGACATCGCCAACTGGAGTGGGGTCTTGTTAAGTGCTGATTACAGTTGTCTGTAGAATTCCTCCTTCTTCTCTTCATCTGCATTATTTGTAGATGAGTAGCGTAGCATTGTGTGATTGTGACTTTCCTTCCTTTTGAGTTGAACCTTGCTGTTATGATCCTGCAGGAGAAGATTGGTTCCCACTGCATGAGAGACGCCTTCGATGCTGTTGGGGACATCATGATAGTCACTCCAAAACTCAGTTTGTTCGTGTTTGTCGTGTGGGTGAGAATATCGGAGTAGATTATTGACTCTGTAGTTGACAGTTTGGAGAGTCCACTTCTATTTCATCTGCAGATTCCTTGCAGATTCCTAGCACTTCCATGCCATACCTTCTCATCTCTTTTGCAATCTGAGCAACCTTGCTAGGTTTAAACATGTCTACTTTCGCCCTCATCGAGAGAAGATATATCGGTCGACTGGCCTCCTGATGGCTTTCACCAACCGGCGTCATTTCGTCTCTTCGATTCTAGTGAGCAACAAGTTTGTTTTCATTTTTTATATTTTGTCTGTGCTTTGAAGTTTGTTTAGCGATTGTGTTTGTTTGACTGGTAGCGTTGCTATCCCTATGCCTAACGTTCCCTCTTAATCCGGACTTAGAACCAGCTATTAAACTCGTAAACTAGTCCTGGTTCTTCTTTACTTATTCTACGAGAATTTTTTTTACATTTTAGAGATATACCAAAATTGGTCAAACGTTTTGGTGGCAGATCATTACCGATTGAAAAAATTGCCCTCCGGAAATCCTCAAGATACTTTGCACAGAACAAGATGTTAACACTTCCAGCTCTGGTATGTTCATTAAAAAAACAGGAAATCTCTTCTCCACACATATTACCTATAGAATCTATTAGAAACCTGAGATTTTTCGTCTTATTATAGGACTCTTCAGCAATGAGCTGTCCCATCCCGGATCAGAAATTGAACACAAGACATTAAACTTTCGCAAGGAACACTTTAACCATCCAGCCACTGGGTCAGAGTTCAACCGTCCATAGTTACTCAGTTTTGTCAGTTTCTTATATAAGGGGATTATCACTGGAGGTCTTCAACTGGTATGCGCCTCACATCAGACTGGCTAGCCTCAAAGGTCAGGGCTTCCCATTGTAACTTCAGGATATCCACCTTGAAGCATGTCACTAATAAGTCCTGAGTCTGATCTCTCGTGAGGCCTGCAAGTTCAGTACTATAAGGAAACGGCTGTCCACTGCTCCCAGGTTCTCAATGGTTCTACAACTGATGTTATTTCATGATAAATACCAACCTGAAATAGGTAAAATTCCCATAAAGGTCAAACTATAGTTTAACCTCAAGGTACCACTCATTATAAACTGACATCAGTTGGAGGAACATTGGAAACCTGAGAGCACTGGATGGCCGTTTCGCTCTAGAACGGACTCCACAGCAGTGAGCATCTATGACCTCGCCCTCCCAGGGATGGAACTCATGAATTTCGGGTCCAGTGGTCATCACGTTACCATCGAGCCACTGGGTCAGGATCCAACCATCCATATTTCCAATTTCTGTCAGTTCACGACATGGCGCCACCGCCACCCAATATCATCGTTGAGTAGTTGTCCTCATAGCCACCAAGTTTTTCCCACTGGCCACGACTTCTCACTGGAACGTCGGGAATCACCTCTCGAAGCTAGTCACCAGTGAGCACCAGTTCAACTGGATTTTGAAGGAGTTGTGGGGATTCAGAGATATTTCAATATGGTATTCATCGTAGACTGGCATCAGTTGGGAGGACAATAGAAACCTGGGAGCACTGATCAGCTGTTTCGTCCTAGTATCGGACTCCTCAGAGTGCGCACTCACGATCGCACCAGGGGTCGAACCCGCGACCTTCAGGTTCCGTTGCCAACACGTCACCACTAACCCACTGGGCCAGGATCCAACGGTCCATATTTCTTGCTTCTTTCAGTTCAGTCAGTTCTCAGCCTTCAAGAGAATTTCTACATAGTGTGTTAAAACAATCTGAATGCTATCAGAGTTCCATGTGTATGTGTGTGTGAATGCTTGGGTGGTTCAAGTTGAGGTTCACAGATGATACTTGTGTAAAACATACACTAACATGGAAGGTCACTTCACATAATGATGTAACTACTACTCTAAGTTTCAGCACTATCCTTGAAATAACCAGTTAGAAGCAAGCAAGGTTATTTATTCACTCTTAGCTGACTAAAGATTTAGAAATCTTTTTTTCGTTTTTAGAAGTTTAGAAAAAGTCAAGGGGTATATCCACTTTTCAGCGAGCTGGTAGTGAAATTCAAATATACTAAGAACTAAGGGGTAGGGATTAGTAGTTAAAGTTATTATTTGGTTTTAGGATGGACGAACTGTACAAATTATTTATTTCTCGCTCCCAATCTCTTTGATATAAGTCGATAAAAGTGAATAGAAATTTTTACATACTTGATTATTTCCGTAGAAGTATAGACAGAAAGTTCAAGGAATCATCTGACCTAAGTCTTTTTCTTTTTCTTTTGGATTCCTAGTGGAACATAGGGTTTCAGTAGCACGCCTCCATTGTACTCTTTTCTCTGCCGTCTTACAAACCTGGCACCATGACTGCCCATAACCTTTCATTTCTTCCTCACACCATTTCCTCGATGTCACCTTCAAACTTAAGTGGAAGTTTTGTATTCTACCACTTTTCGACTAATTCATCTTGTAAACTATGAACTTTCTCAATTCGATGATTCATAAGCTTATTATAAAGAAGATATTGTATGTGTTATATCAGACAATATGAAATACAAATCAATAGCATCACCGTACTTCTTCGCTTCATCTTTTCACATTCATTTTCAAAAACTTCATCATTTTCTATATGATATGACCTTTGATAGTTTGTTGTGGACATTTCATCATCACTAGGCATAGTGACATTTTCAGTAGTAACTTCATAAGGAAGTGAAGCATATTTTACTGTTATAAAGATGTTTGGGTAGAGTTTTTTTAATGATATTGGATGTTATCCAGTTGCAAGTTGCGGAGGAGATTTCTATCACACTTCCACTTCTTTGACCTTGAATTTCATGCGGTCATCAGGGTAGAAGGTCTTTGTTATAGTGAAATTTTCCTATTTGTTACTGTCACATGGTGCTTCGTTATTGATTTGTTTGGTCAATTTGTCCTTGGTTGATGAATGGGTGTTTTCTTCCGAAGTAGATTGTAGATTATATCCATACCCATATGCCTGTTTGACTTCCAGTGGGAATGATGTATTTCAGGACATTCTCTTAAAGATGGATATTGGCTAGTAGTGGAATGCAAGATGAGCTCTTCGTCCTATTTAGGACTTGTCAGGTGTATGTACCGGGTTTACAAACTCGGGACCGATGACTTGAAAGGCCAGAGCGTTATCCCCTAGACTACAAAGTCACGGCAACAGCCTGTTATGTGACGGGTATAGTTTTAGTGTTGTTCCTTGTATTATCCCGTCACTGATTGATCAGTCCAGAATTCAAATCTTGGTGGGAACAACATCAGTCACTGGGAGGTAGGTAAATCCAGCTGACGAGTCCCAAATAGGACTAAATGTGCATTCTGGATTCCACTGCTAGCCACAATTTATTATTACCATATACAATTAAAACACAGGCATTATTGAGGCATTCACACAGGAGCTCATATGCCAACAGACACCGACCAATTCTGTCCAATCAATGACGGTATTATACAAGCAACAACACTATCCTCTTGAAGCTTTAGAACCTACTTTTTGGAGGATTTCTGCGTTCTTCTAGTCGGGCTTGTGACCATGATTTTATACGTGCACTAAAACTGATTTACAACAGTAAAGTTATCCGGGGACATAAATCTAATTGATGAGTGACGGATGACGAGAAACTCATATCAGTGGTCTTCCATGGAGAGACTTTCAACATTCATTACTAGTTTTAGGGTCTATATTCTGTTATAATCGGTTTGACTCAGAAGACAATTACGTTAGACACTTCACTGACTAACCTACTTCATCTTTAATGAGGAAACATTCGCTATTGACGACTACCTGTCAGAGAGTGATGGTTGCCAACAACTATCCTCTCTGCCGCACTATGCCGTCGTCATACATGGTAATTAAAGGTAGATGACATTACGAAGTCTGAAGTTTTCATGCATGGTGAAACCGAAGACAGACTGACAGATAGAAAACACCAAGATGGAACCTCTCACACAGGTCCATCAGTTACCAAACCTCATAGTAGGATACAAAGAATAAGGAGATAGGAGGACAGTAATATAAAAAGGAAGAAGTTGTGGGAGAAAGTAAACGATTAGAAGATAACTGTCAGTGCAAATATTCAAGCCTTAGAAGACATCAAAAAGTGAATGCATCTGCGTCACCGTGACTGATTTTCAGCCATGTCTGAAAGAGTTCTTAACCACTGGTTCCTGTTGTCTCAGTGACCCTAATCAGGCAGTCTACATCCCCCCAACAAGACTCAGACCAACAGTCAGAGACTTCAAGAACTGATATCATGTCTTCATCTGACCACCCTGAACCCTCTTTCAGTCTAATCTAGCTTACACAAGCGCAACACGTTGAGGTAGATTGCGGATTGATATACGCAGGATATCTCCAAGCCATTACAGTCGACTAGGGTTCATAATCTCGTCGGTCGACCTGCCTATTTTCAACATTGCTCATACGGTGATTTCACGAAATGCTAGGATTACTTTGAAGATACATGTGATCAGAACTGTGTAACCACTTCATGCCTTTTACCTTTAACGACCATGGCTCACATTGGTATAACAGGATGCAACAAACTGTAGTGCAGAATACTTGTCCCTTTAGAAACAGTTAGATATCTCGCTAGTCGGCGCCATAGATGATACAAGTTAGCAAATGCCAAAGCGGTCTCTTGTATCCAAGCTGAGATCTCATCAGTAACTATCCTATTCGAGCTGATGCAACTCCTAAAGTAAGTGAAGTGGCCGACACATTCCGTCACTTCACTGCCCATCTGGGACGGCTTGCAAACCAGTCCTCCAGCATCATCTTACGTTTGACATGTGCGAGATATATGTTAAACATACTCAAATTTCTAGAACTGAAATGTGAATCATCAGGCAAGGGAGGCAAGTTAATCTATAAGTTTGTTAATGTTTATCGACTAAGATGGTTGAGATATATGTTGCTTTCCCACGAGATGCTACCAGGAGTAGAATTACGTCGAAGTAGGGCTAGAATGTGGTCAGTCCAAACTGTTGATGATGATAAGTGGCTGACTATCGAATTCAGGATGCATATTTCGTCCTGTTCAGGGTTAGAATGACAGTTATTGTGAGATGAGTTGAAATCATCTTTCGTATGCCCTAGATCTTTCTCGCACGCTTCAAATCATAAAAGTTATGTACCATAAACCTTCAGTTTCTAGTATATATAATTCATTTCAGTGGTAAAATCAACACCAAATACTTCTTTCTTATCTAGACAACAATACATACAATGTGTATAGGAACAGAGATGAATGATAAAGTTCATGAGCCAATCAATCAATACGGGGAACAAATAAGTTAACACATCACACTATAACGTTAACCAGTAAACACAGAGAAAATATTATGACATAATATTCTACTTTCTCCTACATTTAGAGATATCTGTCTAGTCCATTTAGAGAATTATAAAAACTAAATATATGCCATTTAACAGATAAAAATGTATCTGGAGGTCTTTTTTGAGATGTGAATCATTGGATTCCGACCCAGTGGCTCAAAGGTAATGTGCTGGCTACGGTACCCGAAGGGGTTGGGTGTGGTCCCAGGCGGGCGAGGTCATGAATGCCTACTGCTGAGAAATCCGATACTAGGACGAAACAGCTATCCAATGCTCCCAGATTTCCTATGATCCTCCAACTGATGACATTCTACGATGAATTTTAATCTAAGATAAAATTGTATCTGAGATATATAGATAATGCTTTCATCACATTATGGAAGTGAAAACCATTCAAGGAACCAATTAAACTCATTTACACTTGAGATTCACATGAGAAAACATAAAACGTTAGATGGATAGAATTTTGTAGATTTGAGGATTAAAAGAAATGAAGATGGTTCGATATTGGATTGGCTAATATTCGGCGTTTAATGGTTTTTGTCCTATTCCCGATAAAAGAAGAAGTTAAGTCTACTATGCGAATGCTTCGATACTTTCCGATTAGTCATTATGGGTTACAGTCTCAGTAGGAACAACCTTACTCATTGGGGTACAGGTATATCCAGCTGACGAGTCCCAAATAAGACGACACGCAACGCTCGGATTCCATTTCTAGTTAATACCAAGTAAATTATAAAAGCCATAGCAAGGAAAATATTCTCAGATGATACTCTGCAAAATGAGTAAGGGTTCATTTCCAATTCTTAAATTGTAATAGGTTATCCTAGCAATCTAACAAAAATGTATATGAATAAAGTGCGTAGAAGTTTTGAGATAGTAACGGTTCGAAGGAAACCACTATTCATAAGTAAAGATATACTTAGTGTGATCGTATTCTACAGACTATCAAGAACCATTATTTAAACTTTTAAGTAGCTAATCTGTACCTATTTTCTTCTAGTCGACCATTTATTTCGTGTCAAACAAAGGATAAGTTACCGAATTCCATCACTCCCATAGCTATTTACCAACTTAGTTGCTTTCGTGAAGACAATTGAAATAGGGCGTACAAATAGACAAGTAATTTGCTGTATCTACTTAGTCGATAATGATTACAGAGGGGATAAGATGAAAGGGTTCAAAGTGACTTACTACCAAATCTCATAGAAGCTTTCTGATCCCGTTTGAACTCGCCTTTTCATCATCATCATCAACATCAAGATCAACACATAGAATCAGACATTACTGCGTAACGGTCTAAGTTACCACACACTTCGTATCATTACATGAAGTTATAACGCCATGAAATGGAGGATGAATAAGCAAAGAAAAGTCGGTCAAAGGGAGCAGAAGTAGAAAGTAGTGAAAATAGGAAGGAAGAATGAGAAGATGAGGATAATGTGTGTGTGCATCTGCATCTGAGCCTTATCGCGAAGAACCTCCAACCACTGGTTTCTCTTGTCCTGTGGACCCCTACCAGCTAGTCTGCATTGCTCTATATGACTTAAACCAACAGTCAAGGGCTTCGTGCACTGATGTCATGTTTTAGTCTGGCTGTCTCAAGCATTTTCCCGCCTTAACCTACTTCAGCCAAGATTGTGTGACGAGACAGACAGCGACTAGACATACGCATCAGATATCGGAGCCAGCAATGTGAGTCGTTGAAGGTTCACAACCGCATCAATTATCCTACTTCTTCTGCCTACAAGCCTACATCTGACTTCTGCGTTATTCACACGGCCTATGTTATGAAGGTAACGGTGGTCAAACACCTAAAACCTTCTCCTGTCTTCTACCTTTAATGGCCATATTCCACAACAAGTAGAAGAGAACGTACTGTAGCACAGTACACTCAATCTTTAATAGACAATCAGATGTCGCGGCGACACAGATGGCGTAAGTTTGCAAAAGCCAATCGAGCCTGTTTTTATCCGTAATTCCCCTTTTACATGTAACTGAGGCTATAGCAATTCAAATGAACAATCCGAAACTCTGTTTTCAAAAGAAAACTGTACGATCTTTGTCCGTCCTGTAACCAGGGAATACTTGGTGAATAGTCTTACTTATGAATCTTTAAAAATACTCTCCTTCCCTTTTTATTTTATTTTGTCGCCCCCTTCACATTATTATCATTTTCATATTCAAACAAGTGGCGGCTATCATATCTCCGTCGCATGGTGGATAACGCCTCGGCGTTTGAAGCGATGGGTACGAGGTTCGAGTCTCAGTGGAAACAACGTCACTCACTGGAGGGGGGGGGGAAGGTAGGTACATCCAGCTGACAAGTCCCAAATAAGACGAGGCAAGCGTCCTGGATTACTCTGCTAGCAATAACCAAATATATTTCCATAACGAACATTCAGGCAATATCCAGGTACCCACGTAAGAGCCCATATGCCAATAGAGGTAGTGCAATTCGATCAAGTAAAACAATGGAGAAATACAAGCATATCTTTAAATAGTAACAAAATAATCTTATTCACTGCCTTTATTGTCCAGTGTTACGCAACCTTATTGACCTTTTCTAAGTTTTGAGCTTTTTTGTCTGCCTTTCTGTCTGAACACCAGTATACTTTGGTGTATCATTTTGAACATTCGTTTCACCTCTTTAAGTACCATTAACTTTATTATCCCAAGGTACACAGTCCACATCTATACTGGGTGATGTTTGAAGGTGACAGGGAAATTCTGACCGCAACCGGATTCGAACCGGCGATCACGGGTTTTCCAGCCTGGTAGCTCAATCGGTAGAGAATTGGGCCAGAAACACAGTGGTCACTGGTTCAAATCCGCACAACTACGCGTATCTCAGATACTCAAATGATAATCCCTATCCTTGTTATCGTTGACTCACAGATTACCTTGACTGGATCATATTTCATACATATATGTTGAAAGTTATGTATATTGGATCTAAGCCTGATGAAGTTTAACTGAAAAAAATATTTTTTGCTAACATAAGGGGAACTTTTAATATTCATAACGTTATTAATTGTTATGTTTATTTAACTAATACCATGGAAGTCTGAGGTTATTGTTTCCCAGTTCATGGTTCAAACTCCTACCAAAAATTTTTTCAAGATATGCACCATGAAGAACACCTAGTGATTCCTTATCAGAGGAAATAACAAGTAGAATTATTTGTTACTATCTGAGGTGGTTCATTTTCACAGAAGTACACGTGAAATGCACTTGAATTCACTGCGTGAGTATCAAACCTCTATGATTAGCTGCTCATCATCCACTTCCACAGAATCATTACTGTATCAAAAGAGAATGTGAATTATTTGTAAACGATGCGTGATAATGAAGTGATGAAAACAAATAGAAAATCTGTTATTAAATAAAAATGTTCGACAAATTTCGAGGAACATTTTATACTACTAATATAATTCTAAGTAGCAAACGTTTCACATTAAAATAATATGCCCTCCTCACTTCTCGTTTCTTTTAGGAACTCATTTTTATTTGGAATGGATTTAAAATGATTCAATCACAACCAGATGCCATTACAACATTTATTATGATATGTGAAAATAAAATTAACGAACTATTCCAAAAAAGAGGTAGGTTGGACACTAATTTTTAAACACCAAGATTTGCTTTGGTTGTTATTTTATAAACGTTAATCACCTTAATTTGATCATATCCTCATTAGGAATGTGATGGAAAAGGTCACTCATTCAATACTCTCTTTTTTCACCAGTCTTTCATCTATGCATAATTTATGTTTACTAAGTGGAAACGAGGGTGGAATTTAAGAAATCCCAACCATCGCTTTTGTTCTATCAAATGTAGACACCTTTCAGTCACAACATGTTGTAGCAGAATAAGAGAATTATGTTTAAAGGATAAACCTTACAAAGAAATATTCTACTGTTGAGGTGACTATCGGGAAGTATACTTGCCCTAGGGACTTTATTCTGAAGAGGATATGGAAGAGAATACACTGTTGGAGAAGGAATCAGCCTAATTCGTTTGGCACTTAAGAGAGATGAGATATAGGAAGTAATATGCAGCTGGATAGTAGCTGCACTAGAAACAAACTTCCCTTCACCCTAGCTGATATCACTGTTTACAGCACCACGTAGACAGTACATCAATGCAAGGTACTTGAACACCCCTCTCACGTAACCCACCACTGTATTTATCAATCTATAGGTACTTATCACTGAAATGAATGAGAACGGAGAACCATATTAAGATTTCTGTGTATTCAACGACTTGCTGACTGGTGACAGTGTATACAAACACAAGGATATTCGTAAGGCAGTGACATGGATTTCACCAGACACTAGAACACAATAAAAATCAGATCGACTTCGTCTCAATCTCAAGAAAGTGGAGACGCAACCTACTGGACACAAAATCAAGAAGAGAAACAGATGTAGGTGGTTCAGACTAATCACTATTTAGTGTAAGAAACCTGCCTTCAAAATCAAGTTCAAATCCATGAGAAAAGTTGGTGATAGACCACAGTTCTAGTCCAACACCTGGAAACTGAAGGACAAAACTGCAAAGGACATCTTCACGTCAGCCATTAGGACAAAATGGGAGACATTGAGCAACATGCCTGAAAGATCAGGCGTGGAAGAACACTGGAACTCTTTGAAAGGGATGTGGAAGGAAACCTGTCAGGTGGCGAAGACGGGACTTCAAGTGAATGCAGAGAAAACGGAGGTGATGAAGATTTCCAAACAACAAAAACAACAACAAGCACCAATCACCATGAACGGGAAAAGCTTAAAGGAAGTTGTCTCTTTCACCTACATAGAGAGCATTGTTCCAACTACTACTACAAAAGAAAGTGGAGATGGATTGGGCATACACTGAGAAGGCCGATTGAGAATATCACGCCCCAGGCCAGACCATCGAGTAGAACCCATATGGCAAACGGCAAGTTGGGTGTCCGAGGCGAGGGTGACATAGAGGAGATGGTGTGAGGAAGAAATGAGTGCTTCTGGTCTGTCGTGGAGCCAGATTGAAAAGATTGCAGAGAGGAGAGTGGAATAGAGATGTGCTACTGATTCCCTATGTTTCACTGGGAACCCAAGGGATAAATAGTTATAAATAATAAATAATCTAATGAAAAGTAGGCAATATTTCAATGTGACTAAGTCTGTTAACACATTGAACATGTAACAGGCATTATTCTATTTTCAATGATGATAATTCATCGCCATCCAACTTATGTTTGTATGAAGTTAACTAATTTATGTAGACTGTCTTGAAAATGAAAGAAAAATAAAAAAGAATTAAAAAACGAGAAAAATGTCCCGTATAAGTTTTGTTTTTCTGATTTGTGATACACAGATATATAGTATCACTCACTGGATGACGTTTCAAGCATCAATCCTGTATTGCTCATAATCATATCAATGTATAATCTCACTCCACTGTCGACATCTGCTTTCTTATAGTTTTGTCACCTCTTATTCTTTGTTTCTGTTCATAGTAAAATTTTCCATATCTCTGGCATAAGTGTTGCCTCATTTCTATCCATGTGTTGGCCGAATGTTGATTCGATGAACAAAGATTCAGTAGTCAGTCCCGCTCTCTCTCCCTCTAATTATATTGGATTTGAGTACAGTGGTTTTATCCCACCCACCTTACTATATGTGGTTGTGTGTTAATGTATGCACCTCAATAGCTGAGTTGTTTTCCAAATTATTCATCCTACTGGAGTCTCTCATTCTATATTCAGCCAAATTCTTATATTCCTCAATTCTAATTGACCCTGACCGGCTAGTTTCATCTATATACTTGACCTAACTCACAGTCATTACACGGAATTTAATTGGTTCTATCAAATCCTCGAACTGATAAAGTATATCTATGAATGAGTTTGTAGGTTTGAATGCCACCTTAATTCCAGGTTTGTTGAGATTCCTGCATAAAGTTTCTGATGTACCTTCCTAATAAGGTAACACAAGGGAGGCTGTGAACTCCTTTCTACTCATGTTGCTGTTATTATTTCATTTCTTGAGTGTTCATACGAATTTCTTAATGAAATGCAGAGGATAATTATAAACTGTTAGTGCTTCTTTTATGTGTTCCAGTTCCTCGTTTAGGTTGTTGCACTGACTAGTCAGTTTTTAGCTCTATCATTTAGACATTTGACTAGACCTGCCCTAACTGACTGATACTGGATGAGATGACTTGAAGTCTAGATACCTGTTAGAATGTGTCTGTTTACTGTAGATGGTAGTATCCAAACTACTCACCGTCAGCCCTTCATTTTATCCAATATAGGTACTTCTCCTTGTTCACTTTCTACATCGTAAGTGGATTGGATTGCGTTTACCGCTGAGTTTACATGTGTGAGGTACCTGTCGATTTGCTCTGATTTCAACACAGTAGTGAATATTCCATCCACATATCGCCACCATATCTTAGGTGCAAAATTAAACTTTTGTAACGTCATGTTCTCCCAACTATCCATAAATATATCTTCCACGATAGGGGATATTGGCGATCCCATTGCTACTCCTTCTGTTTGTCTGTATATTTTGTCCTGAAACTTAGACTGTGGAGGTCAGGCATAACTGTACGCCTAATATAATCTCACCAACCGATATCTTAGTTCTGTGAGTAAGGTCTGAGTCAATATTTAGTTGACTTCTGACTACCTCCAGTGTCATATTGATTGGTATTTTAGTATAAAGACTTTACATCGAAATTAAACATTTTTTTATCCTCTTCTATATGTAGGTCATTAAGTTTTTGTTTTAAGTTTTAGAAAGCAAATATCCATTATAATGAAATATAATGATTACGTAATCATAGTTTTCTTGACGTTATTCACTTACACTATACAATAACAAGCCGATGTCACATACTTATTAGTTCTTATGACGATGAAATGATGCACAGATCCATAGTTCAAAAGGTCAGATCTCAGAAAATTTTAAAAAGAAGGTAAACTTCAGGAATATTTCTTAATTACTGAATCCAACCATCCTGATGACTTCAGCTGTGATCGGTTATATTTATTTATTTATCCCTTGGGTTCCTAGTGAAACATAGGGAATCAGTAGCACGCCTCCATTCCACTCTCCTCTCTGCAATCTTTTCAATCTGGCTCCACGACAGCCCAGAAGCACTCATTTCTTCCTCACACCATCTCCTCCATGTCACCCTCGCCTCGGACACCCAACTTGCCGTTTGCCATATGGGTTCTACTCGACGGCCTGACCTGGCGCGTGATGTTTCCGAATAGTCTTCTTGATGAATGCCAAATCCATCTCCACTTTTTTCCACTGCATATTTGTTGGGTGATGGGTTCTTGGTTGGTTCTCTACCAGCCAGCTAGAGTTCCTTGTTGATTACTTTTTCTGGCCATCTGAGCTTCATTAACGAGCCAGTGTAGGAAAGGTGTTGATGAATGTTTGTAGTTTGTTGGAAATGCTTTTCGTAACGGGCCAAGTCTCTGAATCATCACATAGCAGCACTGACTTGACTGGCATTGGTGTTCAAAATCCGGATGTTGTTCACACTTTATGCTGAATGCAGAAGATCTCCACACTGGTTTCAGGTTGATGAACTCCTGTCCTGCTTTTCCTATCCTGGCTTTGATATCCTCGTCTGTGCCGACGCCGCCACCTGCAGTTGAAACGATGCTACCTAGGAGGGTGGGTGAAAGAGGCCACTTCTTTTAGGTTTATCCTGTTGATGGTAATTGGAGCTTGGTGGTGGTGGTGGCATTGCTTGGGCATCATCATCACCTCTATCTTCTCTACGTTCACTTGAAGTCCTGTCGTGATCAGTTATATACTCAGATAATCTGTTATCAGTGTACGTGTATATTTGGCCTTATATGTGAACAGGTGACCTTGTGGCTTTATATTCATTGCTTGATGATTTAAGTTTACATTGGACATTTTATTGGCTGAAATTTAATCAGCATCAAACTACTGACAGTTTCTAAGCATTTTTACTGCTTCTTCTGTCCAGGATATGATAGAGAGTGATATCAAAGTAGGTAGAGTTATGTGAAGGAAAAAACTATTCGAAGATCAAGTTTAGTACCAACCCGTGATTTCCATTGTCCTGGAGATCTCAACCAAGTAGTCTACATCTTCCCATACACTTCATGGACTTGTACCAGGTCTTGATTTTTCCACTCTGAACCCTCTGCCAGGTTAATCTGACTTCCTCTTGAGTGGCATGTCGACGTAGGTGGTGGCTCAGTATACTCAGGACATCTCAAAGCCATGTCAGTCGGCCAGGATTCATTATCTCATTAATCGACTTGCCTGTCCTACCTGTTGCCATTCACTTGACGTCAAGATTCCTCTTATGGTGTTTCCACCAAACACAAACAATGCTAAGAAAACCTGTAACTGTTTCATATCTCCCTCCTCCTTTGCGATTTAAAAAGACAGAAAGGACTGCAGAGCAGCTTATTCGTCCTTTGGTAAATGGTCAGATATCTCACCAGTTAGGGGTCACAGGTGACACAAGTTGGCAAATGCCAAACTGCCCTTTTGTATCCGAAGTGAGATTTCGCCAGCACACCTGTTCCTGATGATGCAACTCCACTAGTAAGTGAAGTGGTCGATACATT